AATCCTATAGGACAGAGTAGGACAGCCCTATAGGGTTTCCAAAGCAGTAAACTTTTATGGAAGCAGAATGCCATGTCTTTCTCCTTTGGAGGAGCTGGTGGGTTCGAACCACTAACACTTTGGTCAGCAGCTGAGTACTGTAGCCTCTGAGACACTAGGACTTATTATAATAGGTCCTGCATGCCTGCTCATCACTTCATGAACTTTCTCATGTGACACTTTGCATTGATAACAGTAGTTAAAGAACTCTACTCTTGACCATTTTCTGCAGCATGTGGCAGTATGGAACACTGAGGTGTGAGGCAGAGTGGTACTGGTACTGTCTGCGATAGTTAAGGTTGTGGGTCTCCTTGGCTGGGCCATGATTCTCAGTAGTTTGGCACTTGTGTAATGATGTAATTTGGCAGTTGTGTAGCCATATTCTTATCCCTTTTCTGATGTGATTTCCTTTTCACATTAAACTGATTTTTGCATAACAGCCTAGTCTTTGGACCTAACTATCAGTAAGTAAAGATTAGGTATAAAATAGTTTAAAACTCATTGTACCTTTGCATCTTATAATTCTGCTTTAAGGATAAATCTCAAGAATAAAATTCAAAACAGTATAACAGTTCTGTAAAGATATTTATGAATGTGTTGCTAATAGTAGCACGATAACTGGACTACTTTTTGAATAAACAAAATATATGAAGAAAATGATATTGCTGAGTAATTATGACCATGAGAATACATAAATGTACGTAACAGTCTGTGAAATGCTGCTGTTGCTGCATCATGCCATTGAGTCAGTTCCAACTCATAATGACCCTTTATAGTTTCTGAGCCTGTAAATCTGTGTGGGGACAGAAAGCCTCATCTTTCTCCTGAAGAGGTGTGGTGGATTCGAGCTGCTGACCTTGTGATTACCCAATGTAAAAGAGTCATCAGCTTTCTTTGTAAGTATAATCACAATCAACTCAATGACAACAAACAAGATACGCTTTGATTAGTGCTTTAAAATTTTTATTAATTAAGAGTCACTTGAATTTGCAGGTTTTTGCAAATAGTTGGTTTATTGTACGGGTTTACAAATAGTATTTATTTACAACTAATACTTACAAAGGAGTCCTGGTATGGCGCTGTGGGTTAATGCGCCAGACTGCAGAGCCGTTTGAACTGCAAGGGCGGCAGTGTAAGCTCACCAGCTGCTCCTTGGAAACCCTATACAGGGTCGCTGTGGGTTGGAACCGACTCGATGGCACTTAACAACAACAACACTTAAAAAAATAATATTACTTGACATTTGTAAGAAGAATACACATGACAAAAGAATAAAGAAATTCTACTTGTTAATGAGGGAGCATTTCCTCTTCATAATTAGTAGTTTCCCAAGTTACTTTCTCTTTTTACTAAATCCTTTATATCATTCATCTTTTTTTCCTTTCTTCCCAGAAACCTGAAAGTAATGAACAAAGACAAAATGGCCTTAAAATGGTGGATCAAGCCATATGGTCTAAAAAGATGTCCAATGGTACAAGACGGATTCCTGTGACCCCTGAACAGGTTCATTCCCCATTTTCCTTCATATTTATTCTTTTGCAACCTCTCTCTTATAACACCATTCACATGTTCTCCCTGTGTCCGAGTGAAATGCAAGGTGGGGTTTTCTTTAAAAAGTAAAAAACAGACACCTATAGAAGACCGGAATCAGTGTCACAAATACTTTGGCAAACCAAATAATTTATAAAGTGTTTGTAAAAATGGTGTTGTGATGAAGGCATCTGACCTCTGACTTAACGAATGTGAGAGAGAATCACCTTCAATAGACTAAGGTTTAGAGATGGAAGTCAGAAATATCCTCACCGTTCAACTTTATCAATTCTAACAGTACCCATCCCTCTCAGGGTATTCTGCTTCACTGCTGAGTTCAATAGTTCATTGCAGTGATCACACAGAACTCACAAACAGTGCTTGTTAATTGTGGAGTTTATTAGGGAAGTAACAGATTATAATTCAGAATCAGGAAAGACTCAGGATACGACTGTTTGATCCGGACCGGACCGCCTATTCTCACTCATGCCCACAGGCCATTTTCTCTTGGCTCTCAGTCCTCTTGGACTTACTGGTCTCTGCCTTACAAGTGTTACAAATCTTTGTAACTCCTCAGGTAAGTATCCAGAGGTGTCTCACCGCACCAGAAAGCTGCCTGCCCCAAGGTGCTCAGCTTTCTCTGTCATTGGGCTGGAACCCATCTCACTGCGCATGCTGGTTTCCTTATTCTGGTCTCCTGGAACTGTTGCTGCTGTTCCTGTGCCATTGCTTTTTGTCTTTAATGTTGCAACACTTTGTCACAACATTCTATCTTATGAGTATAGGAGGTTCCCAACTCAGGGACTCTAGGTCCAAAAGATGTGTTCTGTTGCCATTTCTCCTTGGTGGTAGGCAAAGCCCCCAGTCTCTGTTTCTTTCTCTCTCTCTTTTTTGTGTCTTCTAAGATCAAAAGTTTTCGTACTCTCTGCTTTCTGCCACAATCCATCTGATGTCAGCAGTGATATCCCTCATTCCCTGTCCTCTTCTGAACCTAGCTTGAATTTCCAGCAGTTCCCTGTGGTTGTACTGGTATAACAATTTTAAAATTATCTTCTACAAAATTTTACTTGTCTGTGATAGTACTGCTATTGCTTGATAATTTCTGCATTCTTTTGGATCTTATTTCTTTGGAATGAACACAAATATGGATCTCCTCCAGTTGGTGGGCCAGGTAGCTGTCTTCTACATTTCTTGGCATAAACAACTGAGCAACTCCAGTGCTACATCCATTCGATGAAATAATTGCAGTTAGTATTTTATCAATTCCTGGAGCCTTGTTTTTTACCAGTGCTTTCAGTGCTGCTTGGGCTTCTTTCTTCATTACCACTGGTTCTTGATCATATGCTGCCTCTTAAAATGGTATAATGCTGACCAGTTCTTTTTGGTACAGACTTGGTACTTTTAACCATCACATATATATCTATATATGTATTAATATTTTATTGTGAATTATATGATAGTTTACATGGGAGAACTTTAGTTTTACCTTCATTCCATCATATATCATCTCACTGCCATGGTTCCAATCCTCTCCATGCATCCTCAACCACCCAAAGGGTATATCCCAGAAACGCACTCCCTATACTTCCCCCTCCTCCCCCCAGTATATTTTAAAGTCAGGGAGTGACAGGCCTCAAACCTTCTTCTTGTTCTTAAGCAGTGCTCTGCTTATCCTGGGTCTCTTTCCTTTCCATATAAAGTTTGTAATTGCTTTTTCCATTTCTTTGAACAATGTTGTTGGAATCTGGATTGGTATCGCATTATATGTGTAAATTGCTTTGGGCAGTATTGACATTTTCACAATGTTAAGTTTTCCTATCCAGGAGCATGGTACATTCTTCCATCTTTGTAAGTCTCTTTTGGTTTCTTTTAGTGTTTTATAGTTTTCTTTGTATAAGCCCTTTGTTTCTCTGGTTATATTTATTCCAAGATATTTCATCCTTTGGGTGGCTATTATAGATGGTATTGCTTTCCTAATGTCCTTTTCAACACTGTCATTTTTGGTGTAGAGGAATCGAACTGATTTTTGTATGTTAATCTTATACCCTGCCACTTTGCTGAATCTTCCAATGAAGTCTAGTAGCTTTTTTGCCGAATCTTTGGGGTTTTTTACATACAGGATCATATCGTCTACAAATAGGGAGAGTTTTACTTCCTCTTTGCCAATTTGGATGCCTTTAATTTCCCTGTCTTGCCGTATCGCTCTTGCTAAGACTTCCAGCACAATATTGAATAGGAG